CAACACCATCCCCTAACACTGTCTCTGTTTGTTTGTTTTTTTTGTTCTAAACTGCATATGCTACAGCTGAAGCAGCTCTGTATGCGCTGGATGTTAGGGGACCTCCATCTGGCTTTATTTATGGGATGAGGCTTTTCATAGGGAGCATCTTGTTTGTTTCTATGATAAAAAAAGTCCAAAGGACTGACCGTTTGAATCCAAGAACTTCTCCCTAGATAACCATGATTGTGTTACAAAGTGTGTGGTAGCCTTCTTTTTTTAATCGGGATTAATTCAGAAAGAGCTCAAACATCACCACTCTTCCACTTAACATGAGGTTATAGTGCAGAGGCCTCTCAAGAGGATGATGACTTTGAGAGGCAAGTTCTTCAGTCTTATCCAAGTGGAAGGTTAAAAAGCTTCTTCCAGAAGCTTCTTTTCTTTCAGCTATCTTCAGAAATGGGGTATTGCTTTAAATTACTTACGGTATGAATGCACATAGAGACCATCATTGAAGGTGGTGGGTTAGGTGGAGTTACTGACCTGTAACTCTTTTACTGTCTTTACTTCTTCGTGAAGTGCATCAGTTCAGCTTGGGGAATGTTAATGGAAAATGTCACGCCACCTTCACTTTTTTTTGGTTGTGTGAATTAACGTTCACTGTGTTACTTGATTTTACAAATGTGGGTCACTTTTTCTTCACAATCATTTTAAAGACGTGAAAGGAAAACTATTATCTAGCTAATTTATTAAAAATTCTGAATTGTCATCATTTTAGCTAATTACAGTCAAGGTAAGCATTTTGTTTCCCGTTTGCCTTCGTTTAAGCCTTAAAGCAACAGGTGAACTATGTGGTCATCAATATGGGCATTTTAGAGTTGCTTCTGTGGCACATGCTGGAACTTCTGAATTTCCTAATGCTGGTGTGTATAAATCCTCAGCTTTAGTTGTTGTCAGTTGAACCTACTGCACAGATCTGAAAAATCGTTAGTAACTTCTGTTTTCATTTGGCAACTCAGTCCATTTTGACAGCACCACCAGTCTGATTGTCTATCCTGGGTCTCAGAGTGAAATCACAGATTTAACCTCAACAGGCTCACAGCTCCAAGCCGCACCTTTCCTGGTGTGTGATTAAAAAGCCTCGAGCTTTCTTACCTTGTCATGCTGCTTTATCCCTCCCTCTGGTAGTCCTAATTCACCTCGGTGTTGTCTCTACCATTGCAACCGATGCCTGGACTATGGAAATTGTTACAAGGATTTGTGAGTTACTTCAGATACAATATTGCTGACCAGCTTGCCTTTTCCATGACTTGCAAGATCCCTCTTATAAACAGGAGAAAAGTCAGTTTTGAGTCTGGAAAACGATCAGCTCTTACCCATCTCAGGATTCTGAAAGACTTGACACTTAAAAAGGGAAAAAAAAAGAAAAAAAAAAGAAAAAAACAAACCCAAAAAACCAGGCATGACTGTCAATTTGAGGAGACTTTAGGTAGAGGCAGGAAATTTCTGGCTGAAAGGATGTAAAGGGGCAAGCAATAACCACAGTTGTTGTTCCCATTAGGAAGCAGAGGTTCTGTTTTTCCTGTATCTTGATGACCATTTGGTGGACCCTCACAAGAGTAGACTTGCTACAAATTGATCTTATGAAACATCACATTTTACACCTGTCAGTGATAGTCTGACAGGATTACTGGAGCCACAGTCATCCTTGAGCAGGGCTGTTTCTATGTGGAAGCTCTTCATGGCATTAGAGGATGGGTTTTTTTGTGCTGGGATCACCCTTTTCGGTGAAGGTATCTCCCTTAATCGAACATTAAAAAATAAATCTCTTATCAAACAGGGCTACTTCTGTTTGACATCCTCAATGCCAAACATAATTTTTAGATCTCTAGCTTGACTTTGCAGCTCTTCTTCCAAGAGCACCCTGCCTCTGCAGATACTCCACAGATATTCTGTATCATGGAGTCCTCTTTGCATTTCTGTGGATGTACCAGTCCATGCTTTTCCTTCACTTGCTTCAGTCATGTTAGATAGAATCATAGAATCCCAGGTTGGAGAGGAACTCAAGGATCATTTGGTCCAACCTTTCTTGGCAAAAGCATGATCCAGACAAGATGGCCCAGCACCCTGTCCAGCTGAATCTTAAGTGCCCAATATTGGGGAATCCACCACTTCCCTGGTGAGATGATTCCAATTGCTAATTGTTCTCATTTTGGAAAATTTTTCTCTTGCTGAAAATTTTCCTCTTGTGAAAAATTTTCCTCTTGAAATAGGTTTGCCTATTCAACTTTGTACTCAGAGATGGGAACCTGTATGAAGCTCAGATCTGCCAAGATGGCCTGCAGGTTCTTGTTGTAAATTCAGGGACACTACATGCAAGTAATGTCTGACAACAGTATTGTAATATTGTATGTTACTGAATAAGATAATGCCAGTTCCTCACTTCTGTGCCTTGTGCTTGCAAAACTTTATAATTAGAAAATCAGGCAGTTTCTGGAGGCTGGAGGACCTGCATATGACTTGCTTTCATATTTGCACTCTGGAGTGGGATTGAGCTTGGGCTTCCTGTCAGATGCCTACTGGGTGGAAGTGCTCTGGATTGGAAGTCTGGTGGACGCCCTTCCTCTAGTGCCACTCCACCTGAAGATAATGTTAATCCCTGCCTAGCTATGAAAGTTCTAGTTTGGATTTTCTTCAGTTTCTTATTCTTTGAATGTTTGTTTCATCTCTTGAGGCAGGATTCAATACAGATCCTGCATCTGCATTTAGCTATCCCAGCTTGGATGCAGAATGACTTTTGTTAAATGAAAGACTTGGTTTCTCCACATTGTAAGAGATGTTCTTATTGTCAAAAGAAAATCTATATCAAAGAGAAACTTTAATAAAGTAGACTCAGTACTATTATCTGGTGTTAATTCAGGTCCAGGATATTGAGATATTTACTTGGGCTTGAAGAATCTGGCTTTGTCCAGTGATTCTGTCAAAAGCACATCTGTTGGGTATTTCTGTACCTCTTCTGAGAGCTCACTAATTCAAACTATGAGTCTTGGTCAAAGCATCATCCTTTCCCCAGGATACCTGACAAAAGTGGAGTTTAAACTGAGCATTTATGCATCTTGTGATTACTCATTTTGGGCGTGTGCACGCTGGTCCGTAGTACTCATGCCAGTGTAGGTGGCTTTTCTCATTGCTTTACAGTAACAAGGCATCTTTGGATGTGTGCATTTCAGGTCCATCTCCTACTTGCTTTCCCTTCATCTGTGCAGTGTTTAATGTCTCCCTTTCATAGAATCATAAAGGTTAGAACGGACCTTTGAATCACACGTTGAGAAAAACTGAGTGTAGACGCGGCTTGCAGTAGCTCCTATGGAAGGCATCAACTTGCATTTCTGCTTTCATTTAGCAGTACTTGTAGCTAGTTGAAGTGCTTATGGTTTACTGTCACCGGGATTGAATAAGCGCATGGATTATGTATCTCAAAAGACTCAGTTTACTTCTAACTCTTTGCCATTTTATTAAATAGTGATCATGTGTCTCTTTGGAGCTTAGTAGAGCTCAAACTTTTCATGTATTGATAGCTTTCTTGCTGATAAAGGCAGCTTTGCACATGTTTAAAAATTCATTGAGGGAGAATGCTTTTGATCATAAGTTCAGATGTTATAAAAAAAAACTTTTCACAGAGATTGTACCATTATTTTAAGCTTTCCAGCTTGCATTTCTATGCAAGTCCTTAACTGAATATTTGCAAGAGGCAGTTGCAGTGGCACTCTACCTTGCCCCTTTCTTTAGCTCTCTGGCCCCACCAGCAGTGATCCCTTTTAAAGTATGGGGAAAGCAGACTGCAGGTCTGTCTTCTACCAGCTCTCTTCCAGAAATGAGATCCCTTTCCTCTGCAGGAAAATTCTTAATGTGTCTGCAATTGCAAGATGCAACCAAAAATGCTGAATATATGTTCTTTACTAAAAGCTTTAATAGAAACTGGCTGACAGTATACTCAAGTAAATGGTGTCATGAGGATATTGTCCTAAATGTAATCTTCAAGTCACTTGCTTGTTGTTTTCTTTAACATAATTCCTCAAAATAGCTTCATTGTTATGTGGAAAAAGCAGCTTTTGCTTTTGTCTGCCTCACAGTAGGGAGAAAGAACAGAATATGGAAGTAAGAGCATAGCAGGAATCTCATATTATTTTCCCCAGAAAGTTGGTTTTTGTTTTGGTTTTGTTTTTTTTTTTTAACAAGGTGACAAATTCAGGGCAAACTGTTCACTAGGTGACTTCTTTCAATTAGGATCTTTACCACCTGATTATGAGCTTGAAGAATACAGATTCACAGGGAAAATGTTTTAACTCAAAAAATTTTGAAGCAAGGGACTATTACGATGATCTACTAAATCTGGCTGTATAAATTCAATGATTTCATTTGAGTTGAAAAGATGACTCTTCATGTACACAATTTCTTATGAAAGTTGTATAAAAAAATACAGAAGATGAATGTTAACATGACAAGTATATTTTTAATAACTTACTGTCTTTCAAAGATCATTACTAAAAGTTTGTTTTGTGTGCCAAGATGAAACACTTTTGCTGTCCCATCTGTAATTTGCTACTATTTATCTAGTTTTAGTTGTATTGTCGACTGTTCACATTGAATAAAACTAATACGGGTATTGACATGAACTGGTACTCCAATGTTGGAAATTCACCACTACTTACCTTGACGTGACAGTGGCTTTTAAGTTGTTCCTCAACAACTACTGATAAACAAAGATATATGTACCTGACTGGCTAAAGCCCTAAGCAACCCTGTTGAATTTCATAGCTGACCCTGCTTTGAACAGAGGGTCAGGCTGGAAACCTCCAGAGATCCCTTCCAGCCTTGCTTATGCTGTGATACTTGTGTGTATATACATGTGTGAGTGTATAAATGCATGTGTAATACTTGTGCATAATGTATAAAGATACATTGAGTGACTACAGGTATAGCTATAATAAATTTTCATTCTGCTGGTTTTCTTTGCCCAGTCTGCCACTAAGAAACCTCGGAAGTCTCCAGCAGACAAGGGTCGTTCTGAATCTGGAGCTAGAGGAGCAAGTCGTGGAAGAGCTAATGGCCACCCTCAGCAGAATGGAGAAGGGGACCCTGTCACTTTGTTTGAGGTGGTTAAGCTGGGGAAGAGTGCTATGCAGGTAAAATAACTAATTCTGTTATCCCTTCACAATTCAGTATATCCTGTCTGTAGATGTTCAGTGTAAGCTACGCTTTTGTAAACAATTGTATTTTTTCATAACCTGTATTGGTTCAATAGACTGTGTATGATAAAGTAAGGGATGGAATGTGCTTTGATTGAGTTGAGGACTGTCATATATACTTCTGAAAGACAAGAGACAGATCAGAAAGTCATGTGTTTCAAACTGTCCATTATTTTGTTCATCACTTCCAAATTGAAAATACATGCTGGTGTTAAGCAGTCCATTAAAGAATATCCTGTAATAAGTTTTATATGAGGAATAAATATATGATATTAGGGATGGATCCAAGGCTTTTTTTGTTTGATTGTTTTTTTCAAAAAATACCTGCTGACACAAGCACTTTTGAGTACTTTGCACTGCAGCTTGCATTCTTCTTGCTGTCCCCACCAGAGGAGCAGATGAAGGATAAATAGCCTAGACTTCCTCTGCGTCTGTGGGACAAAGATGGACACATCCTGAAGGCGAATTTTTCACTGTAAGATAGATATCTAAGTTGTAGTGAATCGCCTCTGGAAGTGTTTCATACTCCTTTATGTTTTGATCCATTTCAGAGGTCTTACAGGATTTATTGGGCCAGATGAGTCCCACCTCAAGAACCTCTATAGATGATTGGTTTTGACACGACCTGTATGCTTTTAGTAAGCTACTGTGCTTCAGCTATTGTTTTTGGTACTCAAAGGAGAAACAGTGGGCCCAAAATACTGTTCATCTGGTGCAGTGCAAAGCCGACAGTCATTCCTCCTGAAGCATTGTTTAAGCAAACCTCCTTTACTTTGCATTTCAACAAAACAGGACTCATGCAATATCAGTTAGTTTGTTTTGACTTTGTGGTGACAACTAGCATGAGAAAATTACAAATGGGCCAAGTCCCATTTGCGATACTACTTTTTAATGTAGCTGAAAGCTAAATCTAATTAACTCCTGAAGGAATCTAGTCTTCCGAATGAGTGAAAGCTGTTGAAAATTTTCTGTCTGTCTCAAACCTGTGGAAGGTCTGAGACGTAATTTTAAAAAGTAATAAACAGGAAGAAAAGGAGAGTTTTTATTCTTCGTAGTTGCTATATTTACAGTTATTCAGGATTGACCCTTCTTTTCTAGTAGGTGAAGACAGAACAAATTTACTCTTAACAAAGCTACAGATTCCTTGTGCCTCTTCTTCCTACATGTTTTAAGTCAGGGCTTCCAACTTTGCTTGGTTTTCAACACTTCTTCAGATTTCATTTTTGGCAGGATTTGAGGAAACATCTGGAGTCTATTTTCTGTTTTTACTGTGGTACAGAACATACAATATGCTTTACGTAGTGTGTTTGTCTTACAGTTATTGATATTTGCAGGAGCCAAATGAAAAGGAACAGGTGATTGCTTCGATATTTGATGAGACTGTGTGTGTGGAATTGACTTTGATACATTTAATCTATTTCAAAAGAGATGCTATCAGAAGTCTTCTGCAAATGAAATTATAAAAAGAAATTGTCTACATGTTTGTATTAAACCTTTGGAATTCAAATACAAAGGAATTTTTCTGAGAAATTCAGTATTTCTGTATGCATATATAGATGGGTGTGTGTCTGTGTATTTGTGTATATATACATGTGCACGCACATGCTTAAAATGTGCCCAACCTATATATTTGAGGAAGAAATAGACCACACATTTTAAGCAGTGGAGAAATGATAAGCAAATAGTAAAGGAATAGGCAAGTTTATTTGAAGGCCTGGGAGGCAAACAGCCCTAATTGACTTGAGCCGTATTTAAGAGCACCAATCCTAATTTCAAGAGTATGTGTCTCTTGTGCGCCTTTGAAAATTTTACTATTGGTAAAAATATTAAAAAAAATAAAAAAAAAAAAAAAAAGGAAACCCTATATTGGGAAAGAGGATGCAATTAAAATGTGATTTAATATTTTTTAACTTCCACTTCTGGACAATAATGCCACATGAAATGCGGGTTCTATAAATGAAACTTACTACTGTCTTTATATTTTTCTTTTTCCTTAATAGCTTAGGGATTTTGATGTAACAACTAGGAATGCTTGGCGTTTCTGTTTTTCATAGTTTTGATGCAGGTTTTTTGTGGCCAATTTTAGCAATTTTGTCAGTATTGCAAATTTTCAGACAAGTGCCATATATTTGTATTTGTCAGAACACAGTATTTTTCAATATTTAATTCTTTCCCTGTAATATGAACCTACATTTTCCTATAGCACTCTTAAGTTGCTTCCAGCAATGAAAACCCAGAAAGAAAACCCAGAAAAATTCAATTAAAATATTCTGAGATTATATGGGAATTTTACTTCATGTGCTTTCTTTTCTAATCTATCTGCTCCTGCTGTTTGCTCTCAGGATTTATTTTAGTTGTTAGATTTTTCTGGCTTTGTGTTGCCAACTCATGTAAGTCTATAATTGAATTCAATTCTCACTTCTTTTGGGTCTCATAGTGGGATTCATTTACTACTTCTCTTTGGGCTTATTGCTGTTTGGTTCTTCCAGGGAAACAAAGTTAGGTTAATATTTTATATTTCGAGTATACATAACTTCAGAGCTGCTCTTTGCATATAAATCTTTGTCTTGTATGAAGTGCTAGTTGTGTCAGTGTTAAGTCTCATTTGAACTCTATAAATCAATTTGATACCCACATTAACTTGATATTGGATTGTTGTCACTGTTTTTTAATTTGCTCTGTAACCTTTTTTACAGTTAGTTGCTTCAGAAGTTTTTCTGTCAGCAGCTGTCTGTGTATGAAGTGTGATATTCCCTGCTGTTCATGTTCTCTGCAGGTACATTTTGTTAGTCCATTAAGACTGTTCATAGAGCTTTTTTGGACTTTATGGTGTTTTTTCTTGGGCAAACATGATACTCTTCTACTTTTTGTCATTTTTCTCATCTTTTTGCTCCCTTGAATTTTTTTATGGATACAGCTATATCCACTGTATTTCTCCTCTCTAAACCTCTGTAGGCAGAACGGGCTATATCACCATTTCTCATGTGCTAAACCACCGAAGTTTACACTGCGGGGAAAGAAGGGTGTGGGTGAACCTCCACTCTTCCAGCTGAGCCTCCGGTACAGGGGCTGACTTGTAGCTTAAATCTTCATAGGCACTTTTGCATTGGTCTCTGACCCTGGCATTAACCTGGCAGTGAAGTAAAGAGCGTGTGATGACTCACATTTTGTTTAGCCCTCAGTCTGAAAATTTCTCATAAGTAAATTATGACCAGTTAGCTGTAATAAAGTTTGTACTTCTGTGTTGGTCAAACCAAGCATAGAATTTTCTGCTTTCTTGTGTGCAAAGGGGATTTGTGCTTCCCCCAGAACATCGGAGACAATCGTCAGTAATCGTAAGAGGTGTTCCAATACTGAAACAGGAACAGATCTATGCCTAATACTCTGTAGTATTACATATGTTACCAGTTACCCTTAACTGATGTTAGCAGTTCACTACAGATTAGATGCTGGTTTTGAAAAAAATATTTGACCCCTCTGCTTATGCTCAGCTAAGCAAAGTAATCTTGGTGTCAGTTAGACATGGTTCAGAGTAAATATGGCTCCATTATATGCCAGGAAGCATTTTTGGATATATATCCAAAGAGAGCTTTCTAGTATGTTGAAGTGGAATTTTCAGTTGTGCCACCAGTTCTTGTCTCCAAAAATCAAGAATGTATGTGGTTCCTCACTGTTCTTGTCTGCACACATTGGTACGCATGGATTTGAGTCTTTTAGGTTCTCTCCCTGTTTCAGTAAAGCTGTATTTGTAGCACTGTTTACCCTGCATGAGAAATTTTCTTTGTTTCTTGTGTTTCAGTTCCTCAGATTTTTGTCGTCTTTGCACCTACTGGGCTTGTGTTGGCAAGCTCTGACTCTTGTTCTACAGTACTGCACTGACTAGAAAGTTTGTGTATCAGAGCAGGGATATCATGAGATCTTAAAACTAAAAATCTTTCATTAATATTAATTTAAAATATTTCTGAAATGTTAACAATATTTTCAGTATTATACTGATTTTCAGTGTTTATCCACCTGTCTGTTGCAGACTGAAGTTAAAAATTAGTACACGCAAAAATAAAGGCTATGTGACCCTTGTAATTACACATTGGAGCTGTTTGAAATAATATGAAAGAGGTAAAGGAAACACTGACTGCTTTCAGCAGTGCTCTTTATTTGTTCTTTATGCACTAGCATCTTACTGGCATGGTTGCCAGTTCCTTTTATCATCATGTATGAAGTTTGGATGTTGTTTAGTCATCGACATCTGTATCAGAAATTATTTTCTGATGGAAATTCCTAGTACCTCTAGTATCTTTTTCTATCACTTTGAGATTTGATGATCTGTGCAAGAAACCGAGATAGTCAGTTCTTCCAGAGACCTGATATGTCTTTGCGCATCTTGTTAATATGGCATAGCCTATATAATTTCAGGAACTTTTGTATCTTTATAGCATTTAGAGCAGAAATAGACCTTTATGGTCTGTCTACTACCTCCTTGCATAGCTCAGACCATGGAATTGCACCCATTCCTGTATTAAGCCAACAGCTTCTTTTACAACCCTCATTTTTCTATAGTAATAGTAGTATTTGTTTCAGATAATTAGAAGTTGGGGTGGGCCAACCTTAGCAACTGTAGAGGTAGAGCTGAAGTTTTGAACATCATCATTTCCCCTCAGGTCTTGCTGCAGTATCTGCTCCCTTATCCTTGCGGTCACAGATACCTTGGCCATTGCAGTGGGGAGCTGGGCTGGTGAATGGGGCGCAGGGGGTTGCACTGGCCTTGGAGAAGGCATCTGGTGCCCCCCGCCCTCGCCCCGAGAGCGTGGCTGCTCCTTGGGGTGGCTTCTCCCAGAGAAGGAAGCTGATAGAGCAAGCACCGGGGACTGCACAGCTTTATCAGCTGGTTCCTAATGCATTCTGCATGGATTAGGCTTGGCTTTTGCTTTTATCTCTCA